TACCATTTTCGTGGATAATTTTGACGTTTCAGGAAGATAGTGCACTTTCTGTTTATCTATGTAGTTATAAATACATATAAATATAAATACATTTATTTGTTTGCCACAGATAAGTGTCTGAAAATTGAACAAAGTTCCCCTATCAAATACATGTAGGCATTTAAAGCCATTTCCATGAATAATGCTGCAATGAACATAGGGGTGCATATATCTTTCAAATTTGTTAGGTAGATACCCAGGAGAGGGGTTGCTGGCTCCTATGGTAAGTCTATTCTTAGTTTTTTGAGGCCCCTCCGTACGGTTTCCCACGATGGCTGTGCCCGTTTACACCCCCACGGGCGGTGAAGGAGGGTTCCCTTTCCTCCACAGCCTCTCCAGCACTCGTCATTGCTTGTCTTATTGATAACGGCCATTCTAACAGGTGTTAGGTGGTATCTCATTGTAGTTTTTTCTTTTTTTTTAATCCTCACCTGAGGATATTTTCCCATTGAATTTCACATAGAGGGAGAGGGAGGTAGGGAGGGAGGAAGAGAAAGAGAAAAAAACATCAATGTAAAAGAGACACATCGATTGGTTACCTCCCACAGGACTCCAACCAGGGCAGAGGATCAAACTGCTATAGAGGTAGGTGCCCTTGCCCGGAATCCAACCTGCGACTCTTTCGTCCACAGTCCGACTCTAACTGCTGAACAAAACCGGCCAAGGCTCATTGTAGTTTTGATCTGATTTCACAAGACATGGAAATCACTGAAGTGTCCTGTGATAGATGATGGGACAAAGAAGATGTGGTACATATATACAATGGAACACTACTCAGCCATACGAAAAGATGAAATACTGCCATTTGTGACAACATCATACATCTTGAGAATGTCATGATAAGCAAAATAAGTTAGAAAAAGCCAAGAACCATACGCTTTCATGCATATATGGGATGTAAAACCGAAAGCAACAAATGAACAAACAGGACAAACAAACAAAAACTCACAGACAGACAGCCTACGGTAGTGACCAGAGAGAAGGGGGACAGGGCAGTAAAGGGTACAAGAGGTCAAATACATGGTGATGGAAGATTTGACTTTGGGTGGTAAACACACGGCACAATATATAGTTAATGTACTATAGAGTTGTACACTTGAAACATATATAATTTTATAAATTTAATAAAAGTTAAAAGGAAAAGTCATTTCCAACTGCTCCTTTCTTCAAAAAGCTATAAAAACAAGGGGAGGATCATAATTGTATTTCCAAATTCATTTGAGATTTAAAATTAAATTAGAAGTATTGAAGACCTCGCTTGGCAAGCAATGGCCCAGGAGGGACAGGATGACCAGGAAGGCCCCGCCCACAGGGGTGTTCGGGAGGCTGGACGCGGACGGGAGGGGATGGTTCCGTTCAGTTTGGTCATCGCCGTGAGGGAAGATGCTCAGGGAGGACTTTCCAAGCAGAGGACACAGATGTGCAATAGAAATGCTGTCTTTGGGGGCATTGACTGAGCTGAAACAAAGAGGAAGCATAATACAATGAAAAGAATCCTGCTTCTTGTTAACCATGCAATTTGGGGCAATTTATTTAACCCTACCCATGCTCCAGTTCCTTCGTTTTTTAAAATTTATTTTTTAATTACCGTTTAAATTCAGTATTACTCTGTATTAGTTTCAGATGCACCGCAAAGTGGTTAGAAAATCATGCACTTAATAATGAGAATATCTCTTCTAGTTATTTCATAATTCATATAAAACCCATGATATAATGTTTTCACAAGTAATTTGAGAACAATCAAGTTACATATTAATAAATAATACATTTTATTATGGATTATATTTTAATAATAAAATAGCATAGTTGAGAACAGAAAGAGCATTCCTTCCTCTCAATTCTTTTTTTGTGCTTTTTTTTTTTTTGTTTGTTTTTGCTGGCTGCCCACATCCTTTGTCTTTTCTCCTCTGAGAAAACGGCAGGGAACAGGACGGACACGCAGAGGGCGGCAGAGAGCCCTGCCGGGGTCTTGGTGGCGATGTGGATGCTGGAGTGACCTCCGCGATTTCACTCCTTCTAATGGGTGACATTAGAACCAGGACAGGAATGAGGAGGTCCGACTGAATGAATATCCGTGGACTCTTACAAATGCCTTTCATCCCGGACCCCTCAAACTGTCAGATGAAATGGAACAGAATGGAACGGAAGGCTCTGAATTGGGGACAGTGTGGGGAGATGAGTCCCTGGGCGTGTCAGCTGAAGTATATACTATAGGAGCCTCCACTGACCTGACGGGGACAGTGCTCCCGCCCCCAGCTGTGTCCTCCTCATGAGGGAGCCTCTCCTTCCAGGGAACCCAGCTTCAGACACCTCCAGCGAACGCGGGCAGTCCTCCGAGGGTACTTGGAAGGTGCACAGAAGCTGCTGCTTTATAAAAATGAAAAAAAGTATCGACATTTCTAAGCTCAGAACTATTTTTTTTTAACAAGCTAGAAAATACTGAAAAATAGGTAGTACGGTTTTCTCAAGAGGATGCATTGTAGTTAGAATGTACACCAATTTTTTTTCCCTGTGTGTATCTGGATAAAATATATGCGATGAAATTTCAGGGCAACTTCTAATGCAGAAATAATCTAAAATATGGCAGATTTATAAGGAGGTAATTTTTATTTATTTTCAAATGTGGATTCCCTTAAGAACTCAAATGTTCTACATGTTACTTACGGCGTCTCCTTGAAAAGACTTACCGCGAAGGCCTCAGCACCATAAAACTCCGGGCGCTCAGTCCTCAGAATCAGAATCAGCCATAATTCTCCTTTGCCGCTGGCTCGGGGGGGAGGGGGCTGGAATTCACAGCACTCTACCTGTCTGGTAATTAATAATTCATAATTAAGCCGGCAGTTTGAATAAATCAGCATAACTGAAAGCTTGGAGCCACCTGTCTCTGTTGTCCTTCCTTTTATTTTGAGAATCTGAAAGAAAACTGAGAAGCAAGTTTAGGCACCTGAAACCCTCCCTTAGAAGCTTTGCCTCACTTTGTGTCTGGATTTGTTCGGTGTGGTCTTTGGGTCTTTCTTTCAAAGAATGAAGCAGGTACCCCCGTCAGCCTTGTGCCAGAGGCGAAGAAATGGGCGTGTGTGAAATCCCATCCTCGTCCTCATCCCTCCCTCTCCAGGCAAAGGCAGGCACGGGACCAGCGCCTGACCCAGTTCCCTCGTGGGGAGGTTTCCGCGGACTGCACCACGCGCCGTGGGGGATTCTCTCTTCAGGACCTGACATCCCTTGCAAGTCGAGTCACACCTTTTCAGGTGGAAAATGATGAAAAGACAAGGAAAAGCAAGACTGTGGAAGGGCTTATGCTTCGCCATGTTCCAGGGGAAGCCAGGCCCACTGTCTGCAGTGAGTGGGACAGGCGCTGTGCGTGGGTCAGGCTTAGATCCCAGGGCTGCGCTGGGCTGTGCAGAAGAGGTTGTGTGTTGAGCCTGGTGGGCAATGGTGAGCTGAAGGAGCAGGTAGGAGACAGTTTGATTAGGCTGTTTTATGAAAAGTCCCTCTGAGCTCATGGAGGGGATAGGTTGGTGGGATCCAAAATTGTAAAGAGAATAGGTGGGAGGTCCCAGGTGGGAGGCCTTGGCCATCATTCATGTGAAATTTGGTGAGAAACTCAACCAAATGGCGATGAGAAGTAAGAGTTGAAGGCAACGGGGATATTTTTCAATGCTGAGGTTTGAGCTGAATTAAGAGAATCAGGCCTGGGGGTGGGATGAGGCAGACAGCAAAAATGTGCTGAAGGTAAGGGGACCCGAGCCCAGCCCATGAGAGTGACACGCTTTGTTGACAAAGACATGACCACTGCTGTCTCCGACTCTGTCCTCCTCGCCCCCTCAGTAGCCAGCACTCCCCGAGTGCCCCTTCCCATCAGGCACTCTGCTGAGCCCTGGTTTGGTCGACACCTCACAGCACAGGGAGTTCAGCTGCTACCCTCGTGCGTACTTCGCAGGTGAGGAAATCAACACTTGAAGAGGGGAAGGCAGTTTACCTCGCCCCAGACTATTCAACAGGTGAGGAGCTCAGCTCCAGAGCTCTGTTCCCAACCACCGGGACACGGTGCCATCAAGCCTGTGTTTTATAAGACAATATTGAAGTTGCAAGAGTTGCAGGGACAACGCGTTGCTAACTCTGATTAGGCAAGTCAGGGACAGTTCGTCTGTGTTTTAAAGGATATGTTTTTCTGTGTTTTAAGGAGTAAGAAGGAATTTTCAGGTAAAGGAATGTGAAAGGGAAGAATTGAGGATGGACCTGGCCAGTTTGGCTCAGCGGTTAGAGCGTTGGCCTGCGGACCAGAGAGTCCTGGGTTCAGGTCCCACTAAGGGCACGTACCTTGGTTACGGTTTGTCCTCAGCCCTGGTTGGGGTCATGTAGGAGGCAATCAGTCGATGAATCTCTCTCACATTGATGTTTCTCTCTCTCTCTCTTCCCCCTCTCTCCTCCCGCTCTATCTGAAGATAAATGCAAAAATGTCCTCGGGTGAGGATAAAAATAAAGAATTGCAGGGTGGAATAATCTGTGCATGGTGGAAGAATGTGAAAATGCTGGCGTGCTCAGGGACTGTAACTGACTCTGTGTGGTTGGCTTTATTTAAAAAAGGGCTGAACTGGGGGCAACTCATGACTATTTGCGTAAGTCAGCGATTCCATGAAAATAATGAGCGTGTGGATAGACAGGAACTCAGAAAGCTGTAAGTAGTTTCCTTTTGGTTTTGCCTTTCAATCAACACGCATTTGATGTCCCTGTCGTCAGTCCCTGCACTTCTCCCCCGCCCCCCATGTGTGCTAGCCACGGGACACATGTGCACGGTGAAAGATGTGTTGGTGGCCACACCCTTGACAAATCAAGAAATCTGAAAGTTATCATTGAGAAAGTACTCCCAAGACATGCTATATGAATATTTACAGGCTAACACCTTCTTCTGAGTGTGAGGAACCATCCACATGCATTTATTCTCTTCTGTTTCTTTTCAGTTCCTCCACAGATCATGAATATCTCCTCAGACATCACTGTGAACGAGGGGAGCAGCGTGACCCTGCTGTGTCTTGCTATTGGCAGACCAGAGCCAACTGTGACCTGGAGACACCTGTCTGTCAAGGGTAAGGCATGTACCTGTAGAGAGCTCTTAGAGTTGGCACGTTGAACCCTTGATTCTGTCGTGCGTCTAGACTTCAGGACTGAGAAAACATTAGACCAGAGTAACGTACAAGCAAGGGCCACACGCATGAGTCGTTGAGTGTTCCATTCCAAAAGGGAGGTTCATAGAAAAGTTTGCTGTTATTATTTCGATCTTTTCTTTGACCTTAGCAGACTTCTGTTTTCCCAACTATGAAGAACAGAGGTGCAGTAAGAGTAACTTTCAACAAAGAAACTACTTTCTCAAGGTCGAGGTTGTGTGGGTTAGTTGGTGGCTGGTCCCTTCTTGAAGTAGAGTGGAGAGCACGGCAGTGTCGATGGGAAGGGCTGGTGCTGCTGTGTGCCCAGGAGAAAAGGGGCTTCCCGCTCGTACCTGCAGGGCCACCCAGAGCCCCAGCTGTTTGACCTGTTCTCGAATAGTCCTCTCCCGCAGCAGCAGGAGGAAGGAAATGAAGCACCTCAGGGCATGCCTGTGCTGGGCCCCGAGAGCCTGGTATTAGAACATCAGTTATGATCGTCTCCAATGTTACAGGCAGGGGACCAAAGGGAGGAGGGGCCTTATCTCCTTGGAACTAAAACTTACTCAAGTTGAACTTGAAGAGATGGACATAGGGCCACTTGATATATTGACTCTGTTAGTAGAAACATGATTCATTTTTGAAATTATGCAAGAGGGGAGGGCTCCCTCAGGATTGGAAAATCTAAACACGAATCCCAGTGAAGAGGAAAAGGTGGACTGTGCCTGTGTGATGTAAAAATAATGTGGATCTAGGAAAACATGGAAATGAATCTTAGTAACTTACACTAAAGATTGATATACTTGGCTGTGTATTGTTTTTCTACAGCTGTCATAACACAATGACCACAAACTGCGTGGCTTAAACAACAGAAATGCATTTTCTCCTGGTTCTGGAGGCTAAAGTCCATGATGAAGGTCAGGTCGGTTCCTTCTGACACCTGTTTCATGACTCGCCCCGAGCTTTCGGTGGTTGGCTGATCTCTGTCTCATCTTAACACGACCTTCTCCTGTGGGCATCTCTGGGTCCATGTTTGTCTTTGTATAAGGACACCAGACATAATGAATTAGGACCCACACTAATGACCTCGTCTTAACTTGATTACCTCTGTAAAGATCCAATTTCCAAATAATGTCACATTCTGACACACAGGGAATTAAGACTCTAAGGTATCTTTTGAGAGGGATGCAATTCAACCCATAACACTATTAAAAATAAATGAAGAGACAAGCCACAGAAAGGGAGAAGAGTTTTGCCATACTTATTCCTGATGAAAATAATTTATATCTGGGCTATATGAAGAATTCTTACAGCATAAGTATAACAACCCATCTTGAAAGAACAAAATATTTGAAAAGACAATTCATAAAAGGAGATATGTGAATGAATAATAAGCCCATAAAAATATGGTCAGCATCTTGATAATAGAAATGAGCATCAAACAGTAACGAGATACCTCTAACTACTGGAATGACAAAAATTAAAAAGTGTGACACTATCAAGTGTCAGTGAGGATGTGAAGCAACTGAAACTCCTATATTAACTCTAAGATGTGAGGTTGGATAAGCCCTAAGGAAAATTGTTGAGCAATTTGTGATCAAGTTAAATGGACACTTAGCATATGACCCAGCAATTACACTTTTAGGTATTTAGCAAAGATAAATGAAAGCAAATGTCAACAAATATACTTTGTACACAGATGTTTAGAGTGACTTCACTTATATTAGCCTCAAACTAGAAATAACCCAAATAACTATCAATAAGTAAACAGATGAATTTTGATATATTCTTGCAGATGACTTCTCAGAAGCTAAAAGAAACTAACCATTGATTCATACAACACAATGAATACATTTCAAAAAGCACTATGAAGGGCAAAACAAATGAGATACAAAAACAAAATACATGCTGTATGAATTCATGTATATAAAATCGTAGAAGAGACAAAACTAGTCTGTAATGACAGCAGTCCAGTCGATGTTTACCTAGGATAGGGGTGTTTGCAAAGTGACTGCCAAGGGCACAAGGGAATTTGGGGGTGATGGAAACGTTCTGTACCTTGAATGGGGTGGTGGTGACATTTAAGTAAGTCAAAACTAAGCAAACTGGACAATAACAATAGGTGAATTTTATTATATGTTAATTAAATCTCAATATATTTTGGAAAATATAACTATGGAAATGTTGCAATTAATGGCCTGGAATTTCCCCCTTAATTTGAAACAAAAATTGTGAGATCAACACTGACCAAGTGAGAGACTGGATTTATTGCTAGGACCATGGATTAAGCTCCCATATTTCAGCCCTGCCTTGTTATAGGGGAGGAACTGCTAAGATATAAAGCTACCAAACATTCTTTGTATAAAACCCCTCATATACTGAAACCCCAAATGTCAATATTATAAAGTAGCATTAACAAGAATATTAAAGTATACATAAGGAACATCACCAATCTACACTTTCACATGAACACAGCAATAGTGTGTGTCCCCAAAGACATAAGCCCCAGAGGAATTTTACTCGAAGCCAGGGAGAATTTTGGACTTACATTATATACAAAAATATGTCTAACCTTCAGACTAATTTGTACATATTTGGTAAAGTCAGATGCTTTTATAAATGCTTAAAATCCCAGAATACATTTATTTGATCCTAAATACATAGTTTTCTGAGCCTAGAAAATTTTCAAAAAGCACTTTGACATTGTTTAAGTGTTTTTAAAAGTTTTTACAGTGGTACACTGGTAAGACTTCTCTCTTAAAATAAGGGAGATTTATCCATATTCCCAACTTTTATATAATGTAATAGTTGCAATTTAGCCTTTACAAAGATCTGAAAATCCTAAATTTAAATGATCCCTTTCCCCTTTAAATCTCCCAGGCTCTGCTGTCCTTTCAAGTTGCTTTTGTTTTTTCATAGACCTGGTCTTAACTTCCCTGTCTTACGTTTTCCCTATTGTCTCCCCCACACACACACTATTGACATTTAAGAATTTAAACTTAAAGCATAGTTTCCCAAGTTCGAAAATCATTGGAACCTTGAGGGTTTGCAAGTTAGAAGCTGAATTGTTGTGACTACCAATATTATTTTAGAAGCTGCTCCTTCTCACCTGGGGTCCTGCAGACTTTGGAAACGTTTAGAAAAACAGCCAATAAAACTTGCACATCAAACCACATTTTTAGAACAATTTACTCGTTAGTTCAGCATCCAAGAATAAGAAATAAAAGTTGCAATGACATTTCCTTTGAAATTCCAGTGGGATTACTTTGGAGAATTTAGCTCATTGGACATCTGTGTTCCCAAAATGCTAGTGAAATATTTGTATATGTTGTTTAAATTAGGGGATCTGTATAACAGAAATGGATAAACAAATTTTATTTGGAAAAATAATATTTTATTTATTATTCTTTTTTCTTTATTAATTTTTAGAAAGAGAGGAAGGGAGAGGGAGAGAGAGAGATAGAAACATCGATGAGAGAGAAGATTGATTGGCTGCCTCCTGCACGCCCCCCACTGGGGATCAGGCCCACAACCTGGGCATGTGCCCTGACCGGGAATCAAACCAGCAACCTCTTGGTGCATGGGTCGATGCTCAACCACGGAGCCATACCGGCTGGGCGAAAAATATTTTAAAAGGTGGATTATTGAAGATTAAAAATAATGGTAACACTCTGGTTCAAAAAGACAGACTGAGCACATGCCTCCAATCCCTAGAAATTATTGAAAAGAGGTAAAGACTAAGGACTATTGACATAAGGAATGTTCAAAACTGTAGAGAATTTTTAGTTATGAGTTTATTTGAGACCAACTGATGACAGCTACAAGGAGGCAAAATCTCCAAAGACTGAAAAAATGCTTCCGAAAATGGTAGTTTTACCACTTTTTCTACATCATCATCAAAGGGGAAGGCGTAGGGGGTGACATGGAATCCACCGGTGGTAGTTCAGGGAGGTGGGAGAAAGCAAATCGAGGAAGTCTCTGAGAGGAATAAAAAGTAAAACAGAGACACGTGCTTCTTGTACGTGGGAGGGTGCAGGATGGTTAACAATCGACAGCACATGGAGGTGCCATGCAGGTGAACAAGATAAGGAACCGTTCTGTGGTCTTGGTGTTCTGGTGGGAGATTGTGCCCTGAGGGATCTTGAAAAGGGGATTACTCCGACATCCCAAAAGTATGTTATCACAGATGCAAAAAGACAATAGACAGGCTCTGTCAGGTAAAGATTAACCTTTGTCAAGGAAGAGATCAGCCAAGGACAGGGCAGCCCGCCATGACTCACTTTGTGTTAGGAAGTTGTCATTTCAGACCATCCTCTGTGGTTACTGCAGTCTCTGAGTTTGTAAGGCCTCCATGCAGGCCTCCCCTGAGCTTATCAGGTTAGGATGAGGCCCCTTTTTGTCCACATGACTTAATAAACCCGTTATCACACTCAAGTATAAAAATGGTCAGCTTTTGTGGATCAGAAGGTGTGAGAAATCTCTGAAATATAAAAGGTAAATAGACATAATAAAGGGGAAAATACAGCGCAAAATATAGAAATATAATGAATACCTAAAATGGTAGATATTTGAAAAAGGAAGTGTCTTTGGTTATAGTATACTGGTAAATGTTTAAAACTGATTGGGGCTGGGCGTGGAGGGTGGAGCCTGGTAGCCTGTGCCAATTTCCATGGTGTAAATATTCCCATCATTGCCATTTTCCTGGGAGACCATTTGAAGGAACTTTGATTACAGGCTCAATTTCAATGAAAAACAAAGAACAAGGCTTTCTTGTGAAAGTAGGGGGAACATTTTGAAAAAATCACCAGGATTCCAGCTGTGGATCGGAAGACATCCCAGCATGTCTGATCGCAGCTGGAGACCTCCTGACCTCCAGTCTCCGGCAATGTTGACAAATGTGCAGGATTCCCAGAAACCAGACCTCCCTACAGGACATCTGCCTCATC